ATTAATCAACAGTTGGTTTTTCAGATCATCACCTAGTAACTGTTCATTTTTCTTTAATGGTGCCTCCTCACAGATCTCCTTATTGGCATTTTAACATAAGACTGATCCATGATAAGATTTTCTTTCACTGATTTTCTGAGGTCAATGGAGACGCAGAAAGTCAGGATTTGAAAGCATAGGTTTGAAGACCTGTCTACAGTGGTGAACCAGCTCAGCTGTGGTCGGTCGCAGGGTGTCGATGGACTTCCTGCGGAATTTTATAAGACATACTGGAACTTAATTCAAAAGGACCTAATGGGCGTTTTCAAGGGATGTTTGGACACTGGGACGTTAAAAAACGAGCTGTAGGAGGGCAGTCCTGACGTTGCTGCCCAAAAAAGGAGACTTGGGTCTCCTACAGAACTGGCGGCCTGATTCACTGCTCTGCACAGACAATAAAATTCTGGCCAAAGTCCTGGCGAATAGGCTTAAAAAATATATGGACATAATTGTACACGCCAGCCTGACATACAGTGTTCTCGACAGGACAATAATGGACAATTTGTTTTTACTCAGAGACATCATAGATCTTCCAAAATTCCAGGAATTAGATCTGGGTTTGCTATCTCTTGATCAGGAAAAGGCCTTTGATCGAGTAAATCATCAATATTTGTTTAAAACACTGAAAGCATTTGGGTTTGGTAACATTTTTATTCCATGGTCATTGAAGAGCCACTGTAATGTTGAAGGTAGGAGACCAGTTGGTATTCAGAGAGGAATCAGCCAGGGATGTCCTCTTTCTGGGATGTTTTATTGAGCCTCTCTTACATCAGCTCAGGCAAAATCTTTCTGGTTTAAACTTTGCAGACAAAACAAATTAGCTTAGGTTAGGTTGTCAGCATATGCTGACGACATCACAGTTTTTATGGGATGTACAAATTACAAGTTAGGACTCTGGAACAAAAACTAAAACTATATGAACAAGCTTCTTCTGCCAAAGTTAACGGGTCGAAGTGTGAGGGTGTTTTACTGGGAGAGTGGGTCAATAAAGAGCGGCCGACCTTACCGGCCGGGCTGGAGTGGAGTACAGCGGGGATAAAGGTCCTAGGTGTATTTCTGGGGAATGAGGATTTTCAGTTGAAGAACTGGGAGGGAATAGGTGAGAAAATAGGTGCCTGATTGTCTAAATGGAAATGGGTCCAGCCCAAGTTGTCCTCCAGGGGGAGGACTTTGGTTGCCATCCATGCTCTGGCATCACGCCACCGTTCTAGTTCCTCCAGACAAAATGGTAAAGCAGATACAAAAGAGACTGGTGGACTTTTTATGGGACGGATACCTCTGGATTCGCTCGGCTGTGCTGTTTTTACCTGTGGCAGAAGGGAGCCAGGATGGTATGGACATAACATTAACTTCCAGTTTTTACCAGTCAGTTTTGAATGACTGGAGAAAAGTTTTAAAATGTAAGAGGGACTGCTCTCAGGCATATGGGACAGTAGGTAATGAACCTTTGTTCAAGAACCCAGCCATTTAGAGAAGGATTCTGGGCTCTGACAGTGTCCAGGACTGAGGGCAGCAGGCAAGTGGAAAAGTGCTGCTAGACTATGTGAAGACACTGGGACTAAGTCTTTGCCCCTCATGGACAAACTGGTGGAGGACCTCCTCCACCAGATCAGCAGACTTCCTGGTTTCTTCAGGAGGGCATTAGTGGCAGAGGACCATCTGGAGGGGTTTCCAAAGCTGTCCATTGGTGCTGCAGTGGAGGAGCAGGAGGAAGCAGACTGGCTCCTACTGTCTTTTAAAACACCGGAACTGTGGAACTTCTCGGAAGCATAAAAAATAAGCCTGTATGCTGTATCTGTGAAGGTCCTGAACAGAGTGATGCTGGCCGGGGTCAGAGAGTCGAGGTGGTCGGGTGTGTTGGCACCAGGTTCTGCTCCCAGGGGTACCTGGAGGTCCCTGTACAAAGCCCCCATAGAGAAACGCAGTGCGGATCTCCAGTGGAGGGTGGTGCACGGGGCCGTAGCCACGAACAAACATGTGGCATGTATTGATCACAGGTCAGGTAGTCAGTATGCGTTCTGTCTGGCTGAGGAGACGCTAGAACATCTTTGTTTAGGGTTTCACAGAATAGTTCCTCTGGTCTATCTTTTAAAGCAGTGGGTGGGAGGATTAGGACTCAGTTTTAATGATGAGTTGTTTATTTTTGGACCCAGATACTCGGCGGCACAACGGAGAAAAATTTGTCTGGTGAATTTTTTGTTTGGTCAGGCAAAGATGAGCCTTTGGCTGAGCAGGAGGGAATAAAATGAAGGGGGTAGGTTCTACAGATGCTGGGTGGATGTTCAGAGGTTTGGTGGCTGCACTTCTCAGGACTGAGTTTGTCTACAATAAGATGGTGTCAGACCTGAATGAATTTGTTTCTATTTCGGGAGTTGGAGATGTTTTATGTTGAGTAGTTGACGACGTGCTTATTCTGAGTTTTTGAGGAGAGGGGGGTTCTTATTTATTTATTTTATTTTCCTTTTTTATTTTGGGTTTTGGGGCTTTAGGGTATGTTGTGAGGTTGTGTATGAGTGTATGTATCTAATTTAATTATGAGTGTTTATTGTACATGAAACATTGGACCAATATCTATCTATCTATCTATCTATCTATCTATCTATCTATCTATCTAT